AGTTGATAACTTTGTATATACCCAGGCATGCACTGCTCCTCCTGCAATGTGACAGCACATGGCTGTCCTGCCTGCTTGCTCCATACCCAGAAATACCACTTTTTTGGCAGGCTTCAGTGCTATCTTGAGCGGGGGAAGTGAGAGTTGAGAGTACTACTTGTAAAAAGGGGGGTGGTAGGGTAGGGCGTGGGGTGAGGAGGGGAAGGAGTTGGGTTAGAGGGGATTTACTAACCACAAGTAGAATATGAGGTTCATTTAAATTTTATAAAAAAACGTTTCTTCTTTCCAGTTTTGGATAAAATTAAGTGTTAAAACTCCTATCATTCTTCAATTGCTGTCTGCATTTCCATTTTGAAGATTTACCCTCTCTATTTGTCCTGGTGACCATTGCCTCAGTACAGAACGTGATGTAAAATGTAGCATTTAAGATGTTCTGGTGACAACATCTCTTGCTTTGGATAGAGTACTTACTGATGTGCCTTTAGAAACAAAGGGAAAACTGCCCAATGGGACACATTAAAAAAAAGCTAACATGGGTATTAACCATTCCTACTCTGTGCAAAACTAACAAAAAAAGTTTGGGCTTTATGTTCACATTTAGCAATACATTCAGTAGATTTTTTTGCATTAAAAGACTGGTGATAACTTTTGTTATGTGCTGTACTTACTTAGCAAAAATTCACTATACTCTAAATAAAAAGATTGGCCATCTATCTACAACTGCTTAAGGAGTGTACTTAATTGTCACCACCACACGTTCATATTTGTAGCGTGGTCTTGAACTGTATTCTTAGAAAACATTTATTTCAGTGGACCTTTTGTCTTCATATACTCCCAAGTAGCTCAATTTGCTGACTGTAGTCTTTGAAGTCTACAATCCTTTTTTATACAAACCATAAAATATTTGCTGAACTTATGTTTCTTCTGCTCTGAGTTGGCTGGCGCACCATAGATCCCAGCCAAGTTTCAATGTGTTCTCAGGTGACTGGTAAGTCCCTGCTTTAGTTACAAAGCAAATTGTTTTCCTTGAGATATACTGTTTGCAAATGGATGCTTTTTCAGTGTTTTAAAACCATATCCCTGCCAGGCTATAATATAGCTATGGTATATGTGCATATTCAAACAAACAGTAAGAAATCTTTGTGCACAGTCTTTGACATATAAGGGATTGTAGCATGAGCAAAGATCACCATATTATTGGAATTGTCCTCATTGCTAGCATAGCATGCAACTGTAAACACAATCTGCCTATTGTGTTCACTTTCAGGTTCTGTATTCAGCAATTTAAAGCAAACACTCCTTGCCTAATGTAGTTTTTGTTTTGGTAATGAATGTTGAAGCCTAAAATGATGTGTCAAGTTTTTTTGTTCATGTTGTGAAAATTTCCCCTCCATGATTGTCTGACTGTTAAGCTGTCACCATCACATCAAGTCATGTGAAATCCTCATAACAGACATAAATGGCAGTAAAAAACTGATACTGCTTCTTACCCTTAAACACCCCGGGGTTGATTTACTGAAGGGCAAATAGTCTGTTTACTTTGTAAAGGAACTTTCTCAGAGCATAGCAGTGAAGCTATGCTGGCGTCCATCTTCCAGGCATGTGCAAATGGCTGGGGTTTTTTTATTGTCTTATTCTTCTTGCGTGCTATCAGGTATTCTTTGCAAAGTGAAACTATACCACATTCACTAATCTCTAGGGCAAATTCCCTTGCAAAGAGTAACATTTTTGGCAAAGTGAACAGCTTATTTGCCTTTAGTCAGTCAACCCCTGTATATCAAACAATATTTAGCATGCATTGGTACTTTTAACTATGTTTGCTGATTAAGACAATATTTTATTGTCTGCCAACAGGATGTAAAAGGCAGTGATAATAGTTTAGCATGTTCACAGTTTTGCAGACATCTCAGAAGGAAGAGGAGGAGGATAAAGATCAGCAGGAGGAAGAATCCGGTTCCTCTGCCCTTTCTGACAAGGCACAGGATATGCTATTATAAAGTTCAGATCAGGGGCGGACTAACAACTCATGGGGCCCCCGGGCAATAGGGGATCATGGGGCCCCTGTGTCCTTGCCCAAACTCAAAAAAGCCTATGAAAAAGGTACCAGGGGTATCTCATGGGCCCCCTACTGACCCCGGGCCCTCTGGCAGTGCCCGAGTTTCCAAATGGTCAGTCCGCCCCTGGTTCAAATATGCATTTCTCAAATTGTTAAACCCAAAGCACTCACAAAGTTAATACAGTACTATACGTATTCGTGGGGTGGGGCATCCACCCAAAAGTTATGCTTTAAGGCTGACCACTGTTCAGCTTTAAACACAGCTAAAGAAAATATGTTTTCAGTTTATAAAAATGCACAGAAATACTAACTTGCTTAAATCACAAATTATAGACTGCCAAAAACTGTAACTAGCTAGAACACATAATCTAATGTCTGAGGGTACTTTGAATATCTACTTAATACAGCTTTTTGTAAGTTGCTGAGGAGACAGGAGCTTATAACATTGCTTTATAATGATGCTACAAACCAACCCCAGAGCCGTCGCTATGAGCACAAGCCTCTAGACCAATCCTTCCTACACCTCAGTGAGATACAACCACCCCTCATAGAGAACCATGGATCATCTTATGGACAATGCTTTTCTTCTTCACCCTAAAGAAAGAGTGTATCTGATACTCCCTAGAGTCCAAACACTCTGCAACAAGATCCTGATACACTCTTTCATTGCTAAATATGGGTTTAGATTCAGCTCCTCCAGGAGAAAGAAAGTTTGCAGGTGTTGAACCAAGGCTATTTAGCACAATGCCACCATATCATAGACTGAGATGGAGAACTGATACTACCACCAAACAAGGAAGGTATTTAATGGGCTGTGAGGTATCTTCCTATCATTTGGAGAAACAATGGTCAATCTGACTACCCCTAGGTGGAATCCAAGAGAGCCCCCATAGGGTGCCAAGTCTACCTATGAGAAGTGCTGAACAGGAAGACTAAAAGAGTGGACCTAATACTGGAGGGCAGGTATATAATCAAGGTCCATTCGTATTTTCTGGGTCCTAAAGTTACCAAATGGGCTTTATATCTTGTGGGTCATGAGCAAAGGGTGTTTTTCTACTATGAGGGCACTTAGCCAAGAACATTTTCCTTAACATAAGGGCATTTTTACCATTACATGTTAGCATCAATGTAAAGGCCAAATAGGTATATGCTCCAACACACTGAAATCTTATCCCAGCTTGACACATATTACAGGAAATCTGTACTAAGAGTAATATGGGGGCTGTTATTGTTGACTTCCTTGTAAATATACTAGCTTCCTAGCTGTCTCTTTATTTCTTTCTAAGGCACTGACCCAGAACAAATATGCAGACCAGAAAATTCTAAATGAATTCAGAACTGTTGATATTCAGGTCAATTTCTTTGAACCTTTCAAAGAAACTGGTTTAGCATGATAGCCAGACAGCTAGCATTTTCAGTAGAAGAGATCAGCAATGACAACCTAGATATTGTAAGTTTCTGCTGAAATTATGCATGTGGCAATGTCACAACATCAAAATGTTATTTGAATGAAAATACTTCATATCTAAGTATATACTTCTCTACAGAAAGACTCTGCAAACATAACATGTGGGCATTCTATGGTACACTGATAATGCAACATCCCCCCAGCAGGCAAAAATCTTGCTTCAATTCTTGTCACTCAGCCAGAATTGTAAGACATGTATGATTACACTTTAAATATGTTTTAAATCACCCCAACACAGAATCCTGGGTTGGCTGACTCGTGAATAAATCATGCACTGACAAGCTTGAACAGGGCATTCCCCACAAAGTACAAATTCACACAAAGTTTGCACAGGTGACATAATAGAACACAGCTCTCCTACAAGAAAGAGTAGCAGCTGGAAAGCCAGAAAACATTATTTTACTAAAGACAACTTAGTCACTCTTAGCAGGAATGTCTGCAGACTCCATTCAGAAAATACTCATTTCCAAAATCACTGGGTCCTTGCAATTTCAACTGAAGGTGCTATGTTTTACAAGCATATATGACCCATCAGCCACTCTTTTCAAAATGTTTACAGAAATGGGCCATACACCTCAGAATAGAAGACACTCCAGGGATACACCCCTTGTGCTTCACCACATTACCACAGAAACCTTGATGAAGCCCTGATGAAGGGAGCACATTTGGACCCCAAAAACATGTTGGCTACTTTTTGGATGGTACCCTTGACATTTTGAAATAAAGCTATATCTGTACCTCTTAGCAGTGGTGTGGCACTTCAATTTCCATTTTTGTTACATTACACTACAAGCCAAGGAGACCAAGAAGGTCATCTGGGGTGTACAAGCTGCTTGCCCAGGAACAAGATCATTTACATCAAGATCAATACTTTAAAGTAGCAAGGCCAGTCAGATAACCCTATAGGTCTAATGCTGTACAAATTATTAGTTATACCTCATCTGGAATATGCAGTTCAGTTTTGGGCACCAATTCACAAAAAGAACATTGGGGAACTGGAAAAAGTACAGAGAAGGGCAACCAAACTGATAAGAGGCAAGAAGGAGCTTAGCTATGAGGAAAAATTAGGAACTGAAATTATTCTCTCTTGAGAAGAGGAGATTAAGGGGGGATATGGTCGACATGTTAAAATACATCAGTGGTTCATATAATGAACTCGGTGTAGAGTTATTCACCTTGAGGTAATCACGGAGGACAAGGGGGCACTCTTCACGTCTAGGGGAAAAGAAATCTCCAAACATGGAAAGGGTTCTTCACAGTAAGAGCTGTGAAAATGTGGAATAGACTCCCTCAAGAGTTGGTTCTGGCCAGCTCAGTGGATTGCTTTAACCGCCCTCCACCCGCCATATAGTACAATGATGGGCGCAAGGTGGTTCTCTCGTTCTGGGAGGACGTCATATGACGTTCTAACCGCGCATGCGCGGCTCCGGGAGCATGCAGCTCGGCGGTGCGCTGTGTCCCTCGGACACAGCGGATCACCGATCAGTAGAAAGAGCCAAAGATGTTGGCTCGATATGTGATCAGCTGTGTCCAATCACAGCTGATCTCATGTAAACAGGGAAATGCCTGTTATCGGCATTTCTCTCCTCACAAGCTGTCATACTGACAGCTCGTGAGGAGAGGAGAGCCGGTAATCGGCATTCCTCGGAGGGGACATGTACACAGATCATCAGGGCACTGATGATCAGTGTGCCCTGATGATCTGTGTGGCCCCAGCAGTGCCACCTGTCAGTGTCCATCAGTGCCAGCTGTCGGTGCTCATCCATGCCACCTGCCAGTGCCCATCAGTGCCACATTTCAGTGCCCATCAGTGCCACATCAATGCCACATATCAGTGCCCATCTGAGCTGCCTTTCAGTGTCACCCATCAGTGCCAGTCAGTGCCGCCTATCAGTGTGCATCAGTGCCGCCTATCAGTGCCCGTCAGTGCTGCCTATCAGTGCCGCCTAACAGTGCCAGCCAGTGCCGCCTATCAGTGCCAGTCAGTGCCGCCTATCAGTGCCATATATGAGTGCTGCCTTTCAGTGCCCATCAGTAATGCCCGTCAATGCCCATCAGTGCCACCTACCAGTGCCTCCTCATCAGTGCCCATCAGTGCCACCTATCAGTGTCCATCAGTGCAGCCTATCAGTGCCCATCACTACAGCCTCATTAGCGCACATCAGTGAAGGAGAAAAATCACTTATTTACAAAATTTTATAACAAAAACTAAGAAAAAATGTTTTTTTTTTCAAAATTTTCAGTGGTTTTTAGTTTGTTTAAGAAAAAATAAAAATCCCAGAGGTGATTAAATACCACCAAAATAAAGCTCTATCTGTCACAAAAAAAATGATAACAATTTCATATGGGTACAGTGTTGCATGACCGTGCAATTGTCATTCAGAGTGTGACAGCGCTGAAAGCTGGAAATTGGCCTGGACAGGAAGGGGGTATAAGTGCCCTGTAGGCTAGTGGTTAAAAAAGGCCTGGTTTTTTTCTTAGATACACAGAATATAACTGGTTACTAACATTTACAGATAAAGTTGATCCAGGGAATAACTGATTGCCTCTAAGGGGATCAGGATCAACTGTGGGTGAAGGATTATAACTTTTTTTTTTTTGTTTATGGTTGAACTGGATGGACTTTGTCTTTTTTCAGCCAGACTAACTATGTAACTATGTAATGCTATTTTTTTTTTCACTTTGCTCAACACAGAAACTTTGCCATCCAAAAGTTTCTGTCCCTTTCAGTAAGTGCCTGGAACTCTTGGATGTGGATGGGAGGTTTCATACTCTTATCCTGTTGCTCCCTATGCTATATAAAGCAATAGAATAGTAAAGTGAAGACTCCTCCTACTAAGTTACTTCTCGTAAAGTGTAACATCTCACATAGACTTCCACCCCTTGCTTGGAACTTCATGAGGTGTCCTCATGCTCCAGCAGGCCTCTTGTGCCTCCCCAGCATCATTTTCCTCTGCAGAAGAAAGTACATTGGCAGCTTGAAGCATGATCTCAGCTACAAAGAGCTCTACCCCTTGGTTTTTGTAGTGACCCCCTCCCACACATAACAACCAGAGCATGAGAACTTGTTATTTGATGCTCCATAATCTCCCCAGACGAGGCAATCAGACAGTTCAACCAAGGGAAAATATAAAACGTGGAATAGATAAGGAAGTTTTTCCCTAACACTGGCCATAGACCAATAGAATTTCATTCAAAAGCCTTTAACATTTTATTCAGACCTATTATATGAATATAGTTCTAGATGTATTAAACAGGTTTCTTGTGTGCCTAGAACATGCACAAAATGCTTTTTCCCCAAAAGAAAACCCCATTCTTTGTTAGAGTTGTGTTTGTTCAAGAACAATTCTCCACCCTGCTCCTTCTAAGTTTCTTAGCACTACAGTCAAAAATAAATTTTGTTTTGACCCCACTAGCCATTACAAAACTGAACAGAGGTTCAGAAAATAAAAATTAGAACAAAATTCTACTAGTGTATGACCAATATATAAAATACCCACCTTTAAACCCCTTTTCACTCCAGAAATATTGGCAGATTATCATTTCTGACTAAGCAATTTTGACCTTCTTAGACTAAAACATGCATGATCAGTCTATCAACATCCCATGAAAACAATCAAATCACTTTAAATTGCAGAATTTCCAAATTCCTCCTATTCGCACAGCAGAACAGAAGTGGTAAATGTCAACTCTTTATCTGATGAATGTACTGAAAGATCCAAACAGTGAATGTGCTTGATAAATAAAATGGTTGATAATCAGCTCAGATCAGCGAATATGTGAGGGATGGCACATTCGCTGCTTGATTTTTGTGTTTGGCTCCTGCTAACAGTTGTATGGGGAAAATCATTCCTGCCTGTTGTGTTCGTATTCTTGTACATTTCATCCTAGCTGTCAACAGTTCCAAGTCATACGTGGATATTTCCTTGCTACTTAACTAGTTTGTTATTTAATGGGTAATTAAGGTAGATTGTTGAAAGAATTGGACAGAATACACACAAAGTTCTTCAAGGAAAATTCTCTTTCAATATGCTTGTTTCTGCAATACCATAGTCCACAAAACTTAATATACCAGAACTGATACAAACGATGCATCCATAAAGCAGATTAGAGATGTAAGAAATACACCTTACATGAGAATATATAGATATCCAGCAATAATATCTGCCAACAGAAGACATTCATATATGCTTTTTTTTGTCATAAGACACATAAGAACAATTATGGTAAGATTGCAAAACTAGGGGAAAAACATTTACCTACAGAATGACAGTCTGCAAATGTTAAAGATCAACTCCTAAAGTTTTTGTTTGTTCTGGCTAGGGTGGAGAACAGATAGAACATCTTACTGTTTTTTTATTCTTTCAAAGCGGTAGTAAACAACAAAAAAAAGGTCCCAGGGCAGTTTAACCTCCCTAGCGGTCTGATTATTTCCGATTTTTGATGCTGAAAGCAGTACCATTATTTTGCATGGAAATATGTAGTTTTTTTTATTGTAGGCTGTAATTTTTAGAAAAAAACTCACTGAAATCTGTCCCGAACAAGAGTCTATTAAACATCCCGGGTATGATAAAATTTGAAACACGAAATCATAAATTATAATTTAATAAATAATCATAAAAAAAAATTAATATAATAATAATACATTTAATGCAATAATATAATCAAACCAAAAACACTGAAATTTGAAATAGAGCGCCAAGTTCGCACATTGCTGAGCAAAGTCGCAAAATCGTTTTCAGTGTCTGATGACGAATTTTCCCACTAATCATTATCACTCAATTCTGCAAGTGGTTCTGATTTACCATCGCTGTTCTCTAGCTGATCTAAACCCGCTTTTGACCTAAAGGGACACTTTTTGGACGCCATGGACTTTTTTCAGTTTCCAGGCAGAAAGAACAGTCAAAATGCAGACGGGACAGGACAAAGCACTAGGGACAAAATGTATGTGAAATGGGTTGAAACAGCAATGTTTTGCTATGTAAAATTTGTTTTGAAAAAAATGACATTTTGTAAAATTTTTAAATTTTCCCCGCCGCCGCCGCCCGTACGTCCCGACCAGAACACAGAAGCCGGATGCCGGCATCGGCCGGAGGAGATGGCCGGGGAAGCTGCAGGGGACACATCGCGGGAGCGAAGGACAAGGTAAGCTCTGCAGGGACTCCCTGAGCAGCGCCGCATGGTAAGCCCGAGTGTAGCTCGGGATTACTGCTTTTGGCAATGACATTTTACCCCGAGCTACACTCGGGAATACCGCCAGGGAGGTTAAGTCATAATGTGCTACTATGCACTAGCACAATATGACAGATTTACCTGAAAATGAAGCTCTCCAGTGGTGTGCTGTCACCGCTTTAGGTGCTTCCATTTTCACCCGCTCTTCCTTTCGGGTTCGCGGGCTTCGGTGGTATGATTGGCCAAGCCACGATGACATCACTCCTGCAGGAGTTGCTGTTTGTGGCTCAGGGCTCTGAAGAAACGGCATGGGTATGCCATTCCTTCAGAGTTTATGCGCGGGGGATGTCACTGGCAGCTTCTAAAGTATACATCTCCTAGACCAGGGGTGGGCAACTGTGGCCCTCCAGCTGTTGTAAAACTACAAGTCCCATGAGGCATTGCAAAACTGACAGTTACAAGCATGACTCCCAACAGCTGGAGGGCCACAGTTGCCCACCCCTGTCCTAGACAGTGCACATTTAGGAGGTATTTACTGTACCTATAGGTAAGCCTTATTAAAAGCTTACCTATACATAAAAATCAACCAGAGTTGATTTTTGAGTTTACTCCCACTTTAAGTGTCCTCATTAAATGGGACTTGTCAAAACACTCTGTTACCCTGTAACATTCTAAAGCAGGGGTCTCAAACTGACGGCCCTTCAGCTGTTGGGAAACTTCAAGTCCTAGGCCTTTGGCAGTCATGGTTGTAACTGTCAATCTTGCAATGCCTCATGGGATTTGTAGTTTGGCAACAGCTGGAGGGCCGCCAGTTTGACACCCGTGCTCTAAAGTAAGGGAATTATAAGAACATTTTCTCTTGTGGGGACACAGACAGCAATGAAAACCTAAAAGCAGATCCATTCTATTTTCCGCTTTGCAAAAAAATGGGAAAAGAATGGAACTGCAATAAAAACCTAACAGTTGTTAAAAAAAAAAAAAGTTTTGACTAAAGTCGGACTAGAAAAATATCCAGATATTTAAATAATTGTAAGTGATATATTTGTGTTACTGAAAACAGTGTCTGTGAGTGTATACTGTATATGCTTTGAAATAAAATAATTTGCACTAAAGGGTAAAATCCCTAAACTAGCAGTTAGCACACCCTTAGATACAAAATGGTAATATCTAATAAATTCATACTCAAGTGCAGCGCTCATAAAACAAAAAAACTAATATCAGTCCAGCATGTGTGTCTATAGTAAAATGTTCCTGCAAACAAAGGAACTCCACTGTGAATTGTAAAAGAGATAATCTTCATACAGTGTAAAAACTCCTCCAGTTGAAAAAAAAAACAACACACTCTGTACTTCTACACCAGTGCCCAGGTCAGAGGCTTACTGGAATTGTACGATGACCAAACTGAGGAGCCATACAATGCTTAAAAGTGATTGGGTCAAATCCTGGAAATATAATGTTGCCACTTTGCTCCACTATACTGTATATATCGGAAGCCACTCAGGGGAAGGTGCATGGAAAAATGAGAATGCTCCACGTATTGTAAAGTCAATGGTATCCAGTATTTAATAATAATGATACTACTCACATATATATACAGGTTCAATGACTGGTATAGTAATAAGGTTTTAGTGACTGTTCCTGCATGTTAGAAAGGGCTCTTTCACACAGGTGGTCAGAGGGCGGATGATTGTACACTGGAGTAACTACTCCCCGATCGCCCAACCAAAATCCACCTATGCTCCTGGATTGGGCAGTACTCATGCTGAGCCTGCAATGTTTTGCTTCACAGCGATGGCAATTTTAACTAAGCTTGTAGAGTTTGACAGGCTGCAATGCCCGTTAAGGTCAATGTAAGCACGCTGCACCTGTGAGTCAAATGCATGGCTTTCAGTTGCAGTATTATTTATTTATTATTACAGGTACTTATATAGCGCCATTAATTTATGCAGCACTTTACAT